AGTAACAGCAAAAGAACGCAGTGGTTAAAACAGTAAACAGTAAATATAATAAATAAATAGGCAAGCCAATTTTAATCATGTGATATTGTGTAATGGATAAACTAATAATAATATTAGTGCAGTAGACAGTTTGTCCAGAGTCCGGAGTGATTTGGGGGGGGGGGAATAAATCCGGTATTCAGATAATGACAGGGTCTCAAATTATAGGATAAAGGTCACTTGCAAACAAAAGCAGGGTAAAAGACACTGAGGTGGGAGCAATAATCTCAATAGCAAATTGAGATGTTTGTATTGACAGCATAAACACCTAAATATGAAATGATATAATTATAAGTCAGGGGTAATTAAAGAAGTAATGCCTGTTTTAAAGTGAAGGCTTGTCAGGGGGTTGAGGTAAATAAAGGCCCGAAGTATCATGCCTTTAACTAGAGTGTTGAAGGTTCTATAGTCTTAGGTTGCAATAAAAACCTTCAGACTTTAGGCCCTTCAAAAAAAAGCCTCACCAAACCAATTCAAATCATGTGTTTGCAGATGATTTTTTTCTCTGGTGTTTGGGGTTCTAGATGTTTCTGTAATTAACCAAATATCCTCTATGCTGGTCACTGCAAATTAATCAATATTTATTGAGTACCTGATGGTGAGCCTCTTAATTGGCAGAAGGGCATATTTTCGTACCTCCAGAGTCAAAACTGATCATTTATTTCTACCAAGAACTCATTTTAGTTCTCTACTGGCATTCTGTCCTTTTGCTGAGTTCTGCTTTCATGTTACTTCTCAGCATGGGACTTTAATCAGAGGGAACTCAGTGGGAGACGGTGCATCTTCCTCAAGCATTTTTCCCAACTGGTTTCCTCTCATAGCCATAATTTTTTTTTTAAATCAATAACAGAAAGAAATCAAAGACAAAGGTTGCTTTAAACCTCTTTTACCAACATACTGCAGGTCACATGGCTGGCCATGCCTTAGAGATTTGACTTCCCCTGCTGGGTTCTTAAAGTGTTGTGTACAAGTTGTGTCTCATCCTGTTTGGAATGACCGCAGGAGGCCTGGCTGGATAATTGCACCAAGTTCCTTCACAGGCAGGCCAGCTGTAATGATTCCAGGGTTACGTTCCCTACTGTTGGCTACTGCTTTAGTTCATATGCTACGCCTACATTTTTAATAAAGTGTGGCTAAGTAATTCAAACATTCCCTCTGATGTCACTTTGGAGAAGATTTACATTTTTATATTTTACATATTCCTATTTATTTAGATAAATTCATGAATATATATTTATTTAGGAATATGTTGAATATATTTTTTCAAGCTCTTTTTCTGGGCTGCTTGTAGTTTGTATTTGGAAAATAAGAGCTGCAGTATTTTAATGTCCATTCCACAATGAGTTTTGCCATGCATTTTTTAGTTACATTCACGTATATTGTCGAATAGGAGTAGCGGGTATACACACATACACAGGACCTAAGAAGACTCAAAAGTTAGAAAGTTGGAACTGAAGAGAGTTATCTTAACAGACTTACTGCTTTTATCAAAGGAAAATGTGCTGCTGTGCCTTCTTGTATTAATCAAATACAGAGTGCACACTTAACTTCACAACTGTCTTTCTGCTCTTACTTTGACTTGTCTGGTTTCTGCATTCAATTGACACTGAGTGAAGTCCAATTTATGTAATGGGTTTTCATCTCAGGCCGAACTGCAACTACATGATTTGACAAGTTGTGCAGTGCACTGATATCTACTGTCAGTCTCATCGGTTCAGTTTAAGAAGGAGGAAATGTTGTCAATCTAATAACTCCTGGCTCCATAAAAGTTTCTTTCTTGTGAAAGAATTGTTAAAATTCGCCATAAAATACATTATTGTAATGAAAAAGAGTGAATTAAAATGCTCCATAATTCATTAAAATGATGTCCACCTTGGTATTGTAACAGTTTAAGAGTCTCTGCATGATCTCTAATTACACATTACGCGCTGTAATGTGGGAAATGATGAGATGTAACTAAAAGGTACTCATGGTGATGGCTGTTAGAAATCTGTATTCAGACATGGATGTTAGAATCCTGGTTATGTTCAGGTTTTTGGAGCATCCTGGTTATGTATTTGTGCATGTAAGCATCATATTCTGGATTCAGCAACATGGATTAGCTCTTATGCCAGTTGACAAACCTGATTATTCTACATTTCTAAGTGAGTGAATGGGACAGCTTTAATGCAGAGGATACCATTTATTGTCTCTTTTGTCTTCCATTAATGCTGATCAGATAAGGATGTCATATCAAGCAGAGTAGTAAATGAACCAAGCTGGGTTCATCCTTTACTAGGTCTACACACACAGTTGAAACATGCACCACTACAATCTATGAGAAATAATGCAAACACAGGAACAACTTTACCACAGAGCAAATAAAATAATATTGTGTGATGGCACCTGGGTGATAATAGTCATACAGCAGCCATTGGGCTATTCACACCTTGTCCCCTTGTTTAGTTTATGTAGGGAGGAGGTTGTGATAGGTAAATGGGTTACACACAGGGCTTTGCCCTGGGATACCACGATTTGAGACTGGGGGGTTGTGTAACAGGTGAAAACAGTGTTGACTTAACAGTTAAGTTAGTTAACTTTTTTATTTATTTTTTCCAGTTTTCAGGTTCAGGAAACAAACTTTGTTAGGTTTAGAAAACAAAATCACTTAGTTAGGGTTAGGAAACAAACCTGTTAATAGCCACATTAGCTCTTCCAGATTTAAATAGCAGTGTTGGCTACTGACACCTAGGTGCTAATAGCATCTGCCATAAAATGAATGCTGTATTTTAGCAAAGAAAATTTCGCCTATCATGTTTTATGTTTATGTGCATTCAGTGTAAGGCTGTCCCAATACCATAATTCGATACAATACTAGTATAAAAATAGATACTCAATACCTCTTTTGATACCACAGCAAAAAAGAAAAAAAAGAGGCATGTTAAATAGTATCATGTACAGAAAAAGCCACTGAACACATAATGAAGACCAGTTTATTTTCTACCCCACATTGTTTTATCTGTGCACCCTTGGGTTGGAAATCTGATTGATCCAGGTTTTCTTTATCGCTTCAGTACTTTCAATACTATCGAATTATAGTATTGTATCATTTAAACGTGGTATCAAAAAAGTATTGATAATTTTGACATCCTTAATTCAGTGATATGCAATCAAATGACCTGTATACCATGTGTAAATGCACCTTAACACTCAAACCCAGAATATTAGAGTGCATGTAATGTTGTCAGTGTTTTGTAGTTGGTAAAATAAAATTCAATGTGGATTATCTTTCAAAGACAGTCAGAAATAATGGGTTTCCAGATGCTTTTTTCTGTATATTGAATAGACTGGAGCACAGACAATACACAGTCAGTCACAACATAGACACACACAAAACCCTGACCGTGAACCCGGACTTAAAACGTGTCTTGTGCCAGCTGGAGGATGTGTGAGTACAGTTGCATGGTGGATGTCCTCATGGAGGCTGGGGTAAATCCATGTTTGCACTCAGAAAACAAAGTATCTTTCCCCCTTATGTAACACGGGTGCTGAATATGACAACATGTGCAGCCTGTCGTGTAATTTAACCTTCTCTTTTTAAGGCAATGTTGAACGTGCTCTGTTTTGAATTTTTCTCATCTCCTCTTTGTTTTTTTCTCCTCTTGTCTTTTTCTCTTCCAGTCCGAACAGCACTAATTGCTATAATCGGATTCATGCCAACAAAAGGAGAAGGAGCAATAGGATCTCTTGATTATACCCCAGAAGAGAGAAGGGCCCTTGCCAAAAAGTAAGATGTTCTAGATGACAGGTTTTCCAATGTTTACTCTGCATGTTTACTCTGTTGTGTTGTGTATGCACTGCTATGTATAGAGAATGATAATGAGGTGAGCGTGGGGAGTGGTGTGGAACCGTGTGTATCGTATTGATGATATGATCTTGCATGCTGAATTTGCAAACACACAGGTAGAGGATATGATCAGTGCTGACATTACATGCATGATGCTGGTTAGATGGCATTAATGCAGCAGACTCTGTACGAGTATGTAATGTAATCAGCACCTGATCCTCGGTTGACATGCCCCCCACTAATAACTGCCTAGTCACAAAGGGAAAGGAGCGCGCCCAAGCCAGTCCTGGTATTGCAAGATGACAAATTCATTATCACCAAGATACGCCGTCTCTGGAGGGAGCATGAATGGGCACGCTGCTCTTCATTTCACTCTCACCGCATTTCCCTCGGAGAAAACAGTAAAAAGCCAGAGAAGGAGAGGATCCAGCGAAAGTCGCTCTTCGATTAGTAGATGAGATCTTGATCAGCGGGCTGTTTCATTAGCACATGGAGATGAGATAGACAGGAAGATGCACTTTTCTATAAATACATGGCTGCTTATCTCCTTGATGGAAAACCTTTTTCCTTCTTTGTTTTTTTTCTCTGCTAAGGCTGAGGCAGCACTTCTCTTCGGTTTCTCATCTCCTGTGTCTGTGCCCCTGGTGATTGTGAGAACTGTCAGTCAGAGATCGGCCTCTGCACAGCAGGAAAAGGCTCATGTCCAATATTTTCTGACTTTTGCTGAGTTTGTGACTGACAAGTAAACTTGCCAAAGTTGGCCAGCCTGTGATGTGGCAGGACAAACACACGGGGGCCCTGTGGAGGTCTGGGAAATCTCAGAAAAAAATATGAAAAATGTCATTCATTACTGACACCTGACTGCACATTTCATATACAGGAGATCGGCTGTCATTACATATATTGTGATATTAGTTGTTAAAAGTAATTTATAGTGGCTTAACTGATGGTCATATTGAATGCCTTTACCGTTGGATGATATTATTTACAGAACAAAAGATTCAAGTAAACTCAAGACAATACAGCTTTGAAATGATCACCAAACTGGAGCTTATCCAAACTTAATGTTCAGCCCACACTGGATTTATCTTTTTGCCAGGGAACTCCTCAATCTTCTCTTCTTCTCACAATAACACACTGAACTTCAGAAGTTCAGTGTGTTATTGTGATAGAAATGAATGGGGAGGAAGGAAGAAGCTTAGAAGAAGAGTTGGCAACAATGTACGTGTTAAAATATTTTAATAACATGCATCATTAGCGTATTCGAGTCACTTACAATGGGAAGTAAATCCTCATTTCCTTCTTGGGCTCTGATCCATTGAGTTTGAGAACTGCAGGTTTTGAGGCTAAGCTGCGTCCTCAGTCACCACCAGTCAACAGGTGTCTGCGATGTGGCCATGCTGTTACAATTACAATTCAGCAGTATAACAGGGAGCTAAACCCTGAAGTGCTTTTAAGGTAATCAGTAAAATATTAAAATCAATTCCAAAACATACTGGTAAGCAGTGAAGTGAGGCTAAAATAGGGCTCATATCATCTTGTCTTCTAGTATTTGTTAAAAGCAGAGCAGCTGCGTTTTGTACTGGCTGAAGGCATGAGATCGTTTTTGGCTTAACCCTGAGTACAGTGAATTACAGTCATCTAACCGAGATGATAAAAGCATGCGTGACCTTGAGGTCAGGCTGAGAAAGAAAAGACATGATTTTTAAAATTCTTCTCAATTAATCATGATTGATTGCCTTTTGAAACTTGTTTTTCAAATGAAGGTTCACTGTCATATACTACACCCAGGTTTCTGGTTGCAGGTTTGACATTTGAAGACAGGGGACCAAGGTATTTTTGTACAACTGTACATTGGGATAGACTTGGGAGGACTACGAATAATAATAATAATAATAAACAAATAATTTCAGATCTGTTTTCATTTAGCTGGAGAAAGTCTTAGGACATTTAGCACTTCATTTCTGACAAGATAATAACTGATTAAAATTGCCTTCAGTGGTTTTTAATGAGACATACATTTGCGTATCATCCACATAACAATGGTATTGACCAGCAGCAGCAGTGTCAGTCCTATAGTAGTTCCTGGAAATGTGTATATATTATTTTGTGTACACCCCCACCTACTGAGTTGTTGAGTTATTCTAAGATACAGTATGTTTTTGGGTACAGCACAGTAGGCGTTTTCTACCCCTTGGCCATGGTGCCAACATTCTCTACTCTGTTATTTACAGCTTGAAGCTGTAGATGTAGACTCCTATAAATTGCCTGTGGTGGGCCAGGAGGGACAGTTGTCACAACAGTCATTAATTTTTGACAACCCAACAAATAAATTGTGGGTGAAACTGGGCAAAATGCAAGAAAGCTTACGCCTAGTTATCGAGCATGTTTTTCCTCTTTTTTTCAATTTCACATGCATTTTTTAAAAGTTTGAAGGATATCTTTTTCAAAGCACTGAAGTTTTTCAGCTCTAGTAGAAAGTTTGTGATCTTGCAGTTTGGAAAATCTTTACAGCCCAAAATATTTAGTTATCAAATATGTCTTGGCAGATGTTCAGACTGAAAATGGCACTGCATTAAATGATGTAAGAGGCTGTGTTGGTGTGGACATGTTACTACAGGTACAGGTAAGAGGATGACATTCAGTCCAGGAAGTCTTGATACTATAAGATAGGATTTTACAACGCACAGCGGATATTTTAGCCAACATTTCAACTATCGTAAGGTAAACAGTAGATTTACAAAGTGAAGTGTCAACCATGAATTTGCATTTGCTCATATTTGATCCCCTGTGCCTGTACATTGTGTTGCGTTGTTTGTGACACAGAACCATCTGGGAAGTCATCATTGGAAACTATTTGGAACAGAGTAGGCACTTCTAAAAAAAATACTTGGCAGGTGATTGGATGGACCATTTATCTATCATTCATCTATCACCGTCTATTGCCATATAATGTAGTCATACTCTTACTGAAGCCAGTCAGGAGTAGATCAAAAAACACATTTTCCGGAGAAAAGCCTTCAGTGCTGTTCTTTGCTCTTTTTTTGTGAAGAAATACTATCTAATATAACTAACAAATAATTGGATGGAACCACTGTGGTTAGACACAAGTGCATAGCTTGAAGCGTGGTGATTTTGCGTGTCCAGCTGCCTCGCAAGGTTACACTATGTTGGAACCCCCGCCCCACCTAAGACATCATTATACCTCGAATGAACTGCGATGTACAACCCGTCACATTCCAAATGGTCTCCACAGTTCGGCGAAAAGCAGCCATCATGTTTTTGCGTATTATTGTCATTATGACTCGATGAATCATACAGCAGTGCACACTTTCAGACAGTTTCTCCTTGACAGTATTTTGGTCTTACACTCAGTTGTAAACACAAAACGTGAAAGAGGTAGTGAGGATGAAAAAAAGAGAGAAAGAAGATGATTGTTGAATTGTCTGTTTAGGACAGACTATTGCAAAGGGAGTTTCATATACTCTTAGAATATACAACAAGCACTTTGTTTGAAGCATACCAATGCCTTAAATCCTTCCTGCCACTAAATGATACCAAATACGAAATGAAATTGGAGGAACAACACTTCTGAACCAGTGATTGACACAACATCTCAAACATGCTGCTGTCCTCTCAGTATGCATCTGAGATTTTGCAAACCAAATCTCTAGTTTTGGAATTCTCTTTAAGCTCAGATGTGTTCTTGATGATCAGCATTTATGCCTAAAAGGGTTCAAACAGTCATTCATGTGAGCAACCATCAACCAACCACGGAGCATGTCTGCATGGAGTCCGCTTTTGGAGACAGAGACTGCCTGTTTTAAGCTGTCATAGTCCAGTGACATGATGACTGGAGGCATAAGAGATCATTTGCTGTGCCTTTCAAAATGTCTGATGCCTAATAAGCCAAGCTTCTTCCCAAGCTACGTCTTAAGTTCACTTGAATACAATCCAATTTCAATTTGGCTGCAAAGGAAGACACTGATTTGGATCATTTAATACCATAATGTATCCAAGTCTATCCATGCCACCTTTAGCCTGAGGAGCTCCATAGTGATGTGATGTTCCTCAGAGCATGATTCATTCCTCCTCTTCACAGCTGTAACATCAGTCCATTAGCCGCTGCAAGGGACGATTAGCTTTTCTAAGACAAAACCACAGAAACCTTTTATGTGTTGGGTTTTTTATGTTTTTTTCCACATCACTGCACTAAGCAGCTTTGTTGATCCTTCTCTTAGCATTATTGCACTGAACCCCGCTGTCAGGACTGACATGAAGGCATAAAGGTGCATGCAACGGCCTAAACCCTTAGCAGGGACCTGGCAAATGAATGTGCTACAGGTGGTGAACGCAAAAACAAACCTGTCAGCTGAGGATACAGTGTGAGGCAGACGGCCAACACCATCAACACACTCTTGCAAACACAGAGATTCACACAGCATTTGGAGCTGGGTTTTCTGCCAGTTTGTTTACAAGAGTCATACACAGCCCTGAAAAGTATGGACACCTCAATCTAAAAATCTTTCTAGTTTCATAATCAATATGCCAAATTACTATTGGCCGAGAACCAGATGACAGTACGTTCTTTTTTGGCAGATAAATCAATGAGCCACCGTCTGCACAGGCTGCTAACTTTGTAAAATGCAGTATTTAAAAGCCTGAGTAATTCAGAGTTCTTTCTCTGGTTTCTCTTTCTATGTTTGTGATGACCACGACACACTCTCTGACCATCAGCCAACAAATCTTAACTGTGGCTCTGTATCAAACACACTGTTGATTGGCTGTCTGGTACACTGCTCTACAATAATTCCCTGTGTGTTTGTTCACGTTTATACTGCCACAGTGATGACTGGGTCATTATCACTTCTTCAAGGGGTTGAAGGACTTGATTTTAGAGTTAAGGTTTGTTAAATTGAGTTTAGATGAAAGGATCATGTAGATCTGATGTTGTGCTCACTGATGTCTTTTTCACCATTTGGAGAAAGCATTGAGCAATCAGAGCTTTGTGCTGTAAATGGAAATAAGAATGGGGACCATACAGGGATCAACAATAAGGATAGCATATTGCCTCCTTTTCATCTCTGTTGAGAGTTGCACATGCTCTGTATAAATTGGGCACTCACAAGGAAATGGTGCTAGGTAAAGCCAAAGTTAATGAGCAAGCATTTCAGTTATCCTGTGAACAGGAGTTTAGTTTGCGGGCAGCAAGGCAGATAAAACAGGATTGTTTTTCAAATGCATGTCAAGTTTCTGAAAGTCCTTGTTGTTATTTGATAACTGCTAATAGATAAAACAACTTGACTCTGGGCAAATAGATTTCGGATCCACTTGCCCAACCAGGCAAAGGATGGGATCAATGTCATCTTTCTACATAGCTAGCTTGCTACCTAGCTACATGGACTATACAGATTATCGTAAGTCATGTTACAGAAATAACTCTTAAATCTTTTCAATTTAATTGCTTAGATCGCATCAAGGTGACCGCTTCAGGCAGCCACTAAAACAAAACAAGAGAAAACAAAGGCAAAGCCAAAAATTATAACTGTCCGTTGTTGCTGGGACTTTCTTTTTCTGTCTATGGGTCATGCTAACTTCACACTCATGAGATTTGAGTTATGCCAACTTCACTAAACAATGTGACAAGCAAGAAACAGTAACCCACATACTCACACGTATACTGTCCAAAGGAAAAGGGGTCTCATTTGGTTAACTGGCAAGTTGCCCTGGAAGTAGATTTTTCTGCAGTTATTATTCAGAGGGCTAATTTCTGTGTTTACTTTCAGCTGAACTCATAAACTAGCATTTCAAATGATTTGTGTGAACTTAAAGTTTCTTTAAACCACTCTGCTTGCCCTAATATATGCTGTTTTGATTCGCGTTTCCCAAATCTTCCCACCAAAGTGGTGATAGCACGAAGAAGGGTAGCATGACCCATAGACAGAATGGACACAAAAATACCAGAATTTTCCTTTTAGCATGTAGCTCTGATATTGTGTATTTAAGATATAGTGTTGCAGCTAATGCATTACATCAGTCTTCTCATCTATATTGTGGATTCATTATTTTATACGTAATTGCTCTTCATGATAAATTACAAGCATGAGCCACTGTATAACTGCATCCAGGTAGCGCAGCATATATCAGTGAAAAATGTAATTATTGTACAGGCTGGCTGGTAAGAAGTCTGGCAGGCTAATTTTTCAGTTAAGCACTGTGACAAGTGAGGCAGAACATTAATGTTGGCTACTGTTCTTAATTTATTTATTTTGTTACTAAACCACTGCCATCGCACTTACAGTAATATTTTCATATGTGAAGGCACCTGGTTATTCATCAAGTGGCCTGATACTGTCACGAGTGACTTTAAAAAAAAAATGGCCTTGAAGAATGAGAGGTGCTCTTGTGGCTGAGTGACCCGTGTAACCGCCTGTTCTCCTTCAGGTCCCAGGACTTCTGCTGCGAGTCGTGCGGCTGCTCTATGCACTCTGCCCTCCTGGCTCTGACCCCCAACAGCAACCCTAGCGCCGAGGACCACAAGGCTAAAGAACTGGCTCAGCAAATCAACTTCAAGGTACAAACACTGGCTGTTACACGTGTCATGTTTGATTCACAGTTTAGTCAGCGATTTAACCCTAAGAGCAAAAGAGCTGCTGACAGCACCAGTTACAAAGGAAAGTCTGCTGCTATTTTCCTTCACTTTCTGTACATAGGAAAAGCTGATTTGCTCAGTACTGTGTCATGTTAGGGCTGGACAATAAACCAAATTGAATCTCTTACCCATTTAAATGTACTTGTATCACAATTTTTATTGAATTGTCCAAATACTGTCTGATTAACGTGAGAATACTAACCTCCCAATTAGTGTTGGAGGCCTTTGTTTATCTCGACAGCAGGCCTTTATTTAAAAAAGGCTTATAATTTCCACTGTTTTACCAGTATATTTTATCATATTTAAGTTAGAATTCTGATGTGCCCCTGTTGATGCTGTTTTCTGTTCACACAAACCCAACATACAACCCATTCATGGCTCTGTTGGCTCTTTTAAAGGTTTTTCAACTGATACAAAAGACTAGGTGAACTTTATCCTTCAAAATATAACTCAAATGAGTAAAATAAATACATTTTTGGGAAGAAAAGACCTTTCAGTGACAAGATCAGAGCTCCAATCACTTTTTTTGGCAAGTGGAAAACGGCATTTAATGTGCTGTATCATATTGTATTACAGGTATTTTACATGGTAAAAGTTAGTAGGTGAGCTATAATGTTAAAAATATAACTCGTACGGGTTAAGTAAAGTCATTTTGTGGCAGAAAAGACCTTTCAGTACAACAAGTGTCAACACTTCTGCTGCTCTGAGTTTCTCTTTTTAATAAGCTTTTCATTCAGTAAGTAATTGTAGGAATAGTTGTTTTTTCTAGTCTGGTCAATTGTTTTTATTGACTTTTAAGGTACTGTCAATGAAACTCATCACACTCTGTCCTGATATGTTTTTATTGTGACATGACGTCGCTCATCGCTGTGCAGCTCTGTGTTTCTCTTTTTAATAGAAATACTATCGAGCTTAAAAGTGCATTTTTGACCATGGAAACAGCAGTTAACAAAATAATCCACCACAGGGTGCATTAAGTACCTTTACTGGGAATTTCAATCATATTACGTGATCTTTTTTAACAGTTAAAGTTTGGAGTTTGGAAGAGTAGATATTCACATTTCCATTTTTTTCTTTCCTCTAAGGACTTCTAATGTGTGTTTGCTACAAATTTTCACTTCAAGTTCACTCTTCAATTTGGAAACAGCAGTTAAAGGTCCAGTGTGTAACATTTAGGATGATCTCTTGGCAGAAATGGAATATAATATTCATATCAGTGTATAATCACCTTAAAATAATAATCGCTGTGTTTCCGTTACCTTACAATGAGCCTTTTATATCTACAGACGCCATAGGCCACCATGTTTCTACAGTAGCCCAGAATAGACAAGCCAAACACTGGCTCCAGATAGGACCATTCCCATTTTTCACACGACTTGTGGCCACTGTAGTTTCACCTTTGTGCTTGGAAGGGGAGGGTAAAGTAAGGGAGTTGCAATCTGCAACTACACCACTAGATGCCATTAATTCCTACACACTGGTCCATTACATAATAATCCACCACAAGGTCTATTTAGTAGCTGTTCGTACTGATGGAATAAGAGCTTTGGAAATGTACATTATGCTGAATTTACCATGTCAGCTATTATAGTAAAGCTATGTCCACTCTCAATGTTTTTAAACTGGACTTTATTAACAACAGACTTTTCATTTGTTTATGCAACATCCTTTATTATTTGCGAATCTTCTATTGCTTTATTACCAGATTTTATTTGAGATTATATGGTAGTTATAACAACCAAAAAAAGAGATAAGGTTAAGTTCAACATTGTTGAAGTAAATGTGACAATTTATCATGATATATATTTTAGGTTATATTGCCCAGCCCTATGACAAGAGCCACAGTGTATATGACTGAGTTCTCTGTGTGTTAATGCAGGCAGAGTCCAGTTTATCCAGACAGGCGAGTGAGAGCGGAGGTGCGGATAGCGAGCCTTCCACAGTCACCCAGGGAGACACCTCCACATCTGCAGGCCAGGAAGGTGCTGACGGGCCCCAGGCTGAACAGGTGGGTGATAAACTGCAACTCTGGGTTTACACAGAACTGCACATAACCTGCCTGCAGCCAGCCCACCACCTACAGAACAGACCATTCCTATGATTTTACATGTTTGATTTTGACATTACAGGAAACCATTTCACAGAGCATACTATGTTAAGATGGCTTTTCTATCTGCTAACCAGCCATTGGTTTTAGTTGATTTCAGTATGCTATGAAAGTTCATCACAGTGAACATCTTTATTATAATAATAATAATAATAATAATAATAAGTAATATAATTATTATTATTACTATATTATTATTATTATTATTATTATTATGTATTACTTATTTATTATTATTATTATACACTTTTGTTAAGGTTATATTGTTGGTGTTGTGATAAAGCAGCTGAGAAGAACTGCATTCATCCTCTAAATTGTTCACGCTGATAGATTAATCTTCTCAAGCCTCATTTGCATATTGCTACAGTATTGTAGTGGTTATTGTAGTGTTACCTTGGTTACGATACGTTACGTTAAATAAATAAAATAATAAG